GTGTCGGAGTTCCGCAGGTGCTCTGGTTGGCTGAGTGGGTCTGTAGATGTGGGTCTTGGTGTATTTGTGGGAGAGGGTGACTTACGAGCATCCTTCTACTCCGCCATCTTGCCTCTTCTCTCCATTCTTACTCTCTTGATTTCTTAATGCCAGATTAATTTCCAGAAAGGAGTACTGTTTTATCTTTCAGTAGACTTTTAATTTTAGTAAAGATTCAAATCTGAATTTTTATATGGAAAGATTTATGTATATCCTTACATCATCAACTCTCATTTCGTTATATAATGTAGATGTGTTTTACTTTTCTTTAAATAATTCACATTTATATAGCACCTAGCTTTTTTTTTTTTAAGCTTCAAAATAAACACAAAAAAGAAAAACATTGATGAAGTGTGACAAGTTGACCTAATTTTTGATACACAGTATTGTACTATACATTGTCAGGTAATATGGATGGGGAGGTCTCATAGGGAAGGAGGTAAATGCTGGTGTTGTATTAAATTGATTTAATTTTCTTTCTATATTATAATAAACCCTAAAATAAAATACAGAAAGTTATTAATCCAGGGGATAAGCCACCTTATGAATCATGTTCTCTCTGTAATACATCTTGAGCTTAGTTAACAAATAAAATATTTTGTTAATTGTTTCCTCATTATCTGAAGAACTGCTAAAGATTAGAATTTTGCTTATTGACCAGAAAACTTAAATTCTAAGCAATCATATTATGCAGTCATTTAGCACATAAGCCTAAGGAATCGGTTGTAGACAAGCCACCATAATTTAATTTCTGTATTCTAGAAATGGAAAGGAGCTTAACTGTATGGTGATATAGATCTCATTTTTTTTGACTATTCATTAGAGAATGGTGTCATAGATAAAATTCACCTGTAAACTAAAAACACTTCACCAAGAATTTAACATTCCCCCCACGTGTTGGAGGTAGTGGTGGGGGCAGTGAGTGTGCCTATATATACTTATTTCAAGCAGCACATTCCCATATATGGTTTCACTGTAATGCTTCACCAAAAGTAGTACTCTTCTAAAATTATGTTTGCAGATATGAAGCCAAGTCCTAGTATGTATGCATTTGGGAAGTTTAAAATTGCCTAAGAAGTTTTATCATGCCACCATTGGCAAATAATTCCAGAAACCTTAGAGACCACACATTTTTGAATATGAAAAGCCATCATAACATCTTGAATATCTTTAAGTGACTTTATAAATCTCTCCACAGTGATCTGGAATGAGCCAGAAAACAGCCGGGGAAAGATGGCGTCCTCTTGTACACAATGATCTTGTTGATGAATTAGACCCTTACTATTGAGCTTGAACTTGAAGCTTATTTTATTGTTATAAAAATGTTTTTAATGTGGTGTGCTTATTACAAATAGTCAAAATACTGTCAACTTTTGATCTGGCTTTCTTTCTAACTTTAATTACATGTGGTTAATGATTTTGTTAGATATTCTGCATGTATAACTACTTGATTAATCGAAGTAGAATACTTTTTTATATCTGATCCAGCCAAACCCAGATTAAGGCTAAACTTGAAAATACACACACACACAAACACACACTCACATAAATTATTTCTTCCTAGGGAGTGTTTACAAATTGGGAGGCAGCACCTAACTCTGCACCTTTGCAACAGTTTGAAAGGGAATAATAGTCCATTCCTAGCATGGCCAAGTTGCAAAGGAATTGTATATCTCTGAAAGTATTTACAGTCCTAAAATATCAGACAAAAGGATCTTCTAAATTTTGACTTGATCTCTTTACTCTCATTCTCTCAGAAAGAATACTTCAGGTCAGAGTAGAGAAAGTTTAATAGACCATAATAACACCCAAGTGGCTAGATCCACCACTGAGGTGCAAAACAAAATGATTAACATTTGAGAATATCAATTAGAAGGAAGCTAGAAGAAAGGTTTAGTGCTGGGGCGAGATAACGAATAGGTAATTTGTGGGTAAAACTACACTTCAGAAAATTGATAATACCAACTAAGAATAGAAGAACTTTGTTCACTTGTTGGAGACTCAATTAGGAAATGTTAAAGTGTGAAAAAAAGGATATAACTGATATTTCTTAAGGAGAAGGGGAGTAGTGGTCAGCTGGAAAAGATACTCACTTGCAACATCTCTCACACTTACTAGCTTTCACCATAACTAAGAATTTAAATTTAGGATTCTGCTTCTTGGTAAATATATTTTGAGTTTCAGACTAACTATATAAAGCACATTTGTTAATATAAATTATATACTGGGGACTACCTCTTAAAACATTCCTGTAGATCAGAAGTCAGCAGACTTGTTTATTCAAGGGCCACACAGTAAATATTTTAGGCTTTGCAAGTCATCTAGTCTGTGTGACAACTGTTCACCATTGTAAAACAAACTATAGGCAATAAAATGAATGAGCATAGCTGTGATCCAATAAAACTGTATTTACAAAAATAGGAAGCAGGCTAGATGTGGCTATAGGCCATTGTTTGCCAACCCTTGCACTAGATGGAAAAGTTTTAAGCTACCCTGTGCATTTCAGTTTATTTTTTAAATATTGCGTTCTTTGTACAAATTCTCAATGTTATCTTATTTAGTTACTTCACGGAAACCAAGGGAGGATGAAAAAGATGGCCAGGCATATAAATTTGTGTCACGATCTGAGATGGAAGCAGATATTAAAGCTGGAAAATATTTGGAACATGGAGAATATGAAGGAAATCTCTATGGAACCAAGATTGACTCTATTCTTGAAGTTGTCCAAACTGGGCGAACTTGCATTTTGGATGTCAACCCTCAAGTAAGCTGCATGGATTCATAAGTCATTTTTTTAAGCTTCATTTCCTGTGGAGTTTTTGCATTGTTTTCAGATTATGAGAGCGACTCTTTCCCTCTATTACCTGGAGAGATAGTCTTATTATGCATCTATAACCAGTTAAATAAATTGCTGATCAATTAGTCAACAGATACTTGGATAGTAATAGAAGCTTGATAGAAGTTTAGTATTTATTTACTTGCTCAAGTAATATGTAAATGCATGTGTTAGGAAATGTTAAATTTAAAATTTAAACAAGGCTACAACATAAGAAATAAGTCACACCCCTTTCCCACTCAACACACACACACGCATAACATTCATTTCATTTTCATCCCATCCATGTCTCTCTCGCCGATTCCCTCCCATCACTCTACACTCAACCCAATCTCACTTCTTTAGTCAGAGATAAATATTATTAATAGTTTGGTGTGTATCTTTCTGTCATGTAAGTATGCCTTAAAGACAAATATATATATAAAATGTAATGGGTTTTCTATTTTTGTTGTTGTTTCTTTTGTGTATAAATGGAAAAACTCCATACAGATTCTTAAGCTTGCTTTCATTAAACAGAATTTCTTGAAAAGCTTTTCATGTCAGGTACTATAGAGCTTCTTTGTTCTTTGTAATTACTGCCTGGTATTTCATAGTACGGATATATTTATTTATGTAACCACTCTCCAGTTAATGAACACTGAAACTATTTCTGCTTTTTCAATATTAACAGAATTCTGCAATTAGCATAGAAAGCATTTACATCATTCTTGATAGTTTGGGGATCATGAAGTTTAATACATTCCTTTGTTCAAGGATACTAAAGAGTAGTGAGACTGAGATCAGAACACAATTAATGGATAACCATTTTAGGAAAGTATTGTATGGAATCAAAAGGAAAGGGTGGGTAGTATTAAATTATGTCCTTACTCTTTAGGAAGAAGTAAGATAGACCTTGATTATTTAGTATAAAATAAAGAGTAACATAATTCAAATTCTAATCCTATGTAAATTGATTTGTAATTATTCTGCACAGGCCCTGAAGGTGCTGAGGACATCCGAGTTCATGCCCTATGTTGTGTTTATTGCTGCTCCAGAGCTAGAGACGTTACGTGCCATGCACAAGGCTGTGGTGGATGCTGGTATCACTACCAAGCTTTTGACGGTGAGCAGTTCTTTTCAGGCTAACAATTTTATTTTCCTCCTAAAGTTGTTCTTTTTCTTTGGGGCATGTTTAATTATATCTAATCATGTTTGTGAAGTAAGCATATTAGGTAAGGTATTAAACAATAAAAATTTGTTCCCTAGTTGTAGTTAGGATTTGGAATAGTATGGCTTTTACTTAGAAGTCATTGTTCATTCTATTTTAAAACAAAAGCTTACTCCCTCTATGTAAATGAAATAGACAAATATTAAAATGTGCATATTAATCTAACTCCCTCATTTTACTAATGTGAAAACTGGGCCCCTAGACCATTAACAAGCATATTCATAAGATTTACTACTGGTTGAGTTAGGTGTTCTGACTTCTAGTTGTTGCTACATGTTTTCTCTTGTTCTCCCTCTTTTTCTCCATGTTATGGAAAAGTTTAAACATATACAAAAGAAGGAAGAAATGAACTCCCATGTGCCCATCACTTAGCTTCAATTAACACATGGCCAGGGGAGAGGGTATAGCTCAGTGGTAGAGCATGTGCTTAGCATGCACAAAGTCCTAGTTTCGATCCCCAGTACCTCCATCAAAAAAATAAATAAACCTAATTACCTCCCCCCAAAACAAACAAAATAAACACATGGCCATTTTTGTTTCAGTTAGACCTCTCTTCTCTTCCTCCCTTAACCTTGAATTATTTTGAAGCAAATCTTTGATATAATTATCAACCATAAATACTTGAGTATTTCTCTCTAAACGACTGACTTTTTTAATGTAACCATAACACCATTAACACGTAGAAAATTAAGAGCAACTTCTTAATATATGTGATCAATATACAGTATGTATTTGAATTTCCCAAAGATTTGTAATTTTTTTTTTACAGTCGATTTGTTCAAGTCAGGATCCAAGCAGTATCAACACGTTGTATTTACCTGATGTCTTCTTAATATCTTTTTTTCCTTCCAGCTTGAGGTATAATTGATCTACAATAAACTGTATATATTGAAAGTGTACAACTTGATAAGTTTGGGCATATGTACACACCCATGAAGCCATCGCAGTCACGATAATGGGCATGTCCATCACTTCCATAAGTTCTGTGTGCCCTTTCAGAGGCCCTGCCTCCTGCTGCTCTGTCTCCTCTCACACATCACAGCTAGTAAGCCTTGAGGTCAGGCAGTGTTAGTTCTCTTTCAGGTTGTTCCATGTCTCTACGGAACTTTATGAACATCTGGAATATAGTTATAACAAGTGTTTTCATGTCATTGTCTACAAATTCTAACGTTTGCATCGGTTCTGGATTGGTTTTGATTGAATGACTTCGCTCCTCATTGTGGGTCTTATTTTCCTGCTTCTTTGCAGTCTTGGTAATTTTTTATTGGGTGCTAGACATTGTGAGTTTTGTCCTGGGATGCAGTTAATTTGGAAATAGTTTGTTCCTTTCAGTCTTGCTTTTAAAAATTTGTTGGGTAAAACTAGAACAGTTTTCATTCTAGGGACAATTATTCTTCACTACTGAGGCAAGACCCATTTGAGAATTCTCCCAGATGGCCTGGGCATCATGAGGTTTTCTATTCTGCCTGATGAGAATGGCTTCTGTTCCTGGCTCAGAATGAATACCTCTCATCCTTTCTGGTGGTCCTGGGTAGTTGTAACGCTCACTGGTTGGTATTCAGATGAATGCTGGAGGGGGACCTTTTGCAAGTCCCTGTAGTTCTTTCTCCGTGCTGCTGTTCTACCCAGTATTCTGTCCTGAACTCCTGCCACCTTGTTCTCTCCGGGCTGTCAGCTCTGTCCCAAGTTGGAGAGTCCAGTAGGCTCCTCCTGGGCTTTGCCTTGCTGTGCTGCAGCCTGCAAGCTCTTTCAAGCCCAGTAAGCTGGGGTAATCATAGGGCTCACTTCATTTGTTTCCTGTCTCTGGGATCTCTGTCTTCCATTGCCTGATGTACAGTGTCTTTAAAAGAGTGTTGTTTCATGTATTTGGTCTGTTTTAGTTGTCAGGCAGGAGGGTTGGTCTGCTGTCTGTTAACTGTGTGTTAGCTGGAAGCAGACCTCTCTCTTTAGACTCTTTTAATCTATAAATTCTCAACTGCTTCACTCCCCTCTCTTTTAACCTTCTAACTTAGTTGTTTAAAAAAAATTGATTCATAGGTAAAATTGGACCTGATCTATAAAATTCCCCAGTAGTTTTTCACCTAGTAATTTTAGCAACTTTTATTGATCTTTGCCTGGATCAGTTTTTTTTTTTTAAGGAATTATTAAGTGGTACTATTCTAAGTTTGTCATTCATTCTGCATTTACAAGCTGGAATACTTCTAAAAAGTAACTTTTTCTCATCAGCTAGTTGGTTACTCTGAGGTGAAGTATATACAGAAAAGTCAGAATGTGTGCTTGATACTTTCCTTTCTGGGTCAGCTTTGAGAATAATGGGTTTGTTCCATAAGAACTGCCGTAGGTGACCAAATTAAGGTTTGTATTCTTTTTAGTATTATCATGAGCACGTGGATTTAAACCTATTTAATGTGTTTTACTCTATTGCAGTTTTTATTCTTATTGATACTCAAATTGTCGCATCTTTGACCAACAGGGGCTTATTTAAGTTAGCTCTCAAGCTCTTATTTCATGAGCCTAATTGTCTCAGATAACTTCCTTGCTCTCTGGTATGACAGATGTTCCAGGCTCATGTTGTGCATTTCTTGTTCCAGGCCAGGAATCAGCTATTCCTCCAAGAAGCTCTGTTTCCTTTTAGAGTAAATGGTATTTTAAGACCGTAATACTAGGGGTGCACATTGTCCCAAGATTAATCATTGTTTCTAGCTATACACCTTTTAGGTAGACAGAGCCAAGTTGGATATATGTTTTTCTGTTTGTGTGTTTGAAGGAAACTATATCATGAAATTATACTGATACTTCCCAATCAAATTCAGGATTACAGGGTTCTATTTAACCTGTTTTACATGTATAACTTCATTCCCCTATGCTGAGTATCTCATTTCTCAAAAACACTGGGAGTGTTAGAATATCACATAATTGCTCATTTGATTTATCTCACAGTACACACACAGCAGTCTGAAAAATAAGTGTACCAACACTACCAGGTATGATTACTGTGAACTGTCTCTCCCCCCAACTTCCCAGTTGGTTTGTTATTGTTGTTTGTTTGTTTGTTATATCCTTAAGGTTTATCCCACTAAGTATATACAGTCAAATTGCTGTGTTTTAAAGTCACTTGGAATATTCCTCTCTGTGTACTTAGGTCAGTTATTATTCTTCGATGTTTAAATTGTCTTGTCTTTACCCAGTAGTTGCCTATTCATCTTGTTTTCTGAATCTTTTTAACACAACCCTATAACCTTCGAGGATTCTTTGTTTTCCTTTTGGAACAATAAGCTGTTCCAGGTTGTCCTTACACATTTCTTGGCCTGGATCTGGAACCAGACTCCCAAAAGCCCTGCTTCCTTTTAGTGAGAAATGGTGTTTAGAGATAATATAGGTGCTAAGGGTGTGCATTCAACGTATTTGGGCATTGTTTCTAAGTCTTTTCAGTGGCCGGATGAACGAACTATATTTTTCTTTTTTGGAAAACATAAGTCGTCAGTGTGGTTTAATAGTTCCAACTCAAATTTTACATTTTTACTTAACTTTTTTGACTGTCTTTATCTTTTTCCTCCTGTGCTAAAAGTCTTGGTTCCTGATGGCATTAACATAATCTCTGACTTGACATATACAAGTGAAGCCCATACTACATATATAATACCTGACTAACAGTATTAATATTAACAATATGATTATTGAAAAGTTTTAAGTTTCAGACTTTTTTAAAAAATTGTTCTTAGGATGTATCCCATTGAGTGTTGAATTATTTTAAAGTCACTGAAATAATTTCTTTCTTGTGGTTAAGCCATCAACTTGAAACAGATTTGTTTCATTTTGCTTTTGATTTTTAGATACTGCTTTTTATTTTAAATTTAGTTTTCTTGTATTATTCTGTACATTTTCATATTTCCAAAGTAAATCTTAAAAACAAACAAAGAAGAAATCTAGCTTTCCCCTGTCCTTTATACTCTGTTACCTCCCACACACATAGGTAGCCATTTTCACATTTTCATGTAAGCAAGTTATATATGTGTGTCCTCCGTCCCCCATTTCTTATATAAAAGGTGGCTTATTATAGACAATAATCTGTCTGCCTTTTTGCTTACCAATGTATTTTGGCAATCATGCTATATAGCCATACAGAGAGATATTTTTTTTTCTTTTTTCCATCAGTATGGTATACTCCATTATTGTTACAAGATTGTTTTTGTCAAAAAGAACTGATTTTTGTAAACAAGACAGATTGATAATGACTGTGCTAAGTAAGAATTGTTCTCAAGTTGAATTGTGGCCTGTTTATACATCTATAATAAAAGATACTTTATTTCCTTCAAACTGATTCTGAGATCTCAGTGAAAATGTTAGCTGAACCATAAGTACTAGTGTCCCTCAGGCTTAGTTGGAACCCATTTCTCTCTATGTACTTTCCTGTAGGTGTTTTCACCAAATCCATTAACTTATATACCTTGTTATGCTGATGATTCCTAATTTGTATGTAGGTAACCCAGACCTCAGAGCTCCAGCTTGCATAAACAGTCACCTACTTACTGTTACATCTAAACTTGGATGTCTCACAGACATCTTAAACTTAACACATACAAAGTAGAACATTTTGTTTCCCCCACCAAAACCATGTTTTCTATTCTCCCACCCCCAACTCTGCATCTTCTATAACCTCCCATTTATTCAAGCTAGAAACCCAAGAGCTATTTTTGATTCATTCATTTTCCTCACTTTTCATATCCAGCCCTTTAGCTAATCCTGATGATTTTACCACCAAAATACATTTCTAGTCTGGCGTCATTTCCATCTCCTCTACCACCATCATAGTCCAGAGGTATCTTTCCATTGCATCTAGGTCCTTCATGACCTGGCCCAAGCTCACCTCATTACTTATCCGCTTCAACCCTCCATCCATTCCTGGTCTTCTTTAGTATCTTAAGCACATCAGGGTCATTTTTCTCCTTGATTTTGCATTGCTGTTTCATCTGCGTGGAATGCTCTTTCTCCCACTATAGTTCTCAGTTAAAATGTCATTTACTCAGTTTAAATGTCATTTGTGGAGTCTTTGTAAGCACTCTTAGATCTCTTAAAATTCTTTGTTCTTGGGTGATTTCTTTCATAATACTACAACTTGAAAGTTTTTGTTTATTTGCCCTTTATTTGTCTCCTCCACTAGAGGATATGAACCCATTCTGTCTTATTCATTGTTATATCCACAGATTTTAAAACATAATAGACACTTAAATAGGAACTCAATAAATATTTGAAGAACATGTAGAAATATTACAGAATTTCAAAACACTTGCAATTTAATGAAAAACTTTTTAATGCAAAACCCATTACTTATTTATTCCCCTACATTATTCCAAAATGACTAGAAATATTTTATGAAATATAAACAGTACTAGCTAGCTAAAAAAGAAAAAGACATAAAAGTATTTGTATGTAAAGTTAGTCTTCAAAATACATTTCTAAGATTCTCTTCCTTAGAGAGAGGCAGCAAATTTGGCTAAGAGCTTAACAGACACTGCAAATTGGATTCCGTGATTTACAGAGTCTATAAGATAAATCTTTTGAAAAGGATGATATACTTGGGCTACAGACCAGTCACCTGCAATAATTCTTTTATTACTTTGGATTTCACTCTAAGATTATTGTCAGCGGTCTTTTCATTAGGAATCTTATCTTAATATCAGTGAAACAGAAGACACAGAATACTCATAAATGCAGACATGACTGCAACTGGAGAGACTAGGATATGAATAGATGGTAATGTCTTTTTTAACACTTATTTAGATTACATTTTGAGGATTAGTATCAGAATTGTAGTAAACAAATATCCAACATACTTATTTCTTACGTTCACATTGAATTGGTTTTGAGCAAGTAAATGTACATTATATAAACTTTTACTTTTAAAAATCTTCAACAGGATTCTGACTTGAAGAAAACAGTGGATGAAAGTGCACGGATTCAAAGAGCATACAACCACTATTTTGATCTGATCATCGTAAATGACAATCTAGACAAAGCCTTTGAGAAACTACAAACTGCCATAGAGAAGCTGAGAATGGAGCCGCAGTGGGTCCCAATCAGCTGGGTTTACTGATGATTCAATAAGGTTCACAATCAAAATAAAACTTTTAAAAAGTGACTGTAACAAGTAAACCTACTGAGAAAATACATGCACAGATAGAAGATACCTGCCAAGTCCAGGCATTTTTATTGTGTAGATTGAAATACCAGTACACTATTCTGAATTTTTATATAAAATGTGGTTGGGAAGGTGTACTAATATATAATTTATCTTAATTTTTCTAACTTTTTATGGATAATCTTTCTATTCATATCACACAAAAAAATGCGTTGAAGCATTTTATATATGTTTTGATTTAGTACCCTTGCCTTTTTCATCAGAGGAATTTTCAAATCATTTACTCTAACATTGGTCTCACATTTTCACTGTGATAATGAATACTTGAAATAGTTTTGTAAAACTGTCATTTAGTTCAGTAGTAAAGGGTCAGCTACTCTTATTAGGCGAAAATAGTAGTTATTGGCCTTCTTTCCTAATATACAATTTCTTACAGAAGCAGAATTTTAATGTAAGTGCTACAGCTAGTCTTCTGCCATTCAAATATGACATCAGAAGTCTGCTCAATGCTACATAGTTTCATTATTTCAGAGATGTATGGCTATCCACTCTAATTTACACAGCTATGTTAGTTTTTTCCGTTTGTTCTCACTTGTGAAAAAATGAAGAGCAATACCTTGCACTCTCATTTGTTGCAGTGACAAGCTGATGCTAAGTTAACATGTACATAGCAAGCAAGGCCATGCAGGCTGAGAGAGTGCCTTATCCTGCAAAATCTTATAGCAAAATGACACTGAGAGTTGATTTATTTGTACATGTAAAAGTTTGACAAAAAATGAACCTATTGCTTTATACAATTTTTTATTAAGAGTATGGTCAGCAAATGTATCATGCCTCTGCAAATTTCTGTGATGCTGAAAGAAATGCCTCTAAGTTTGAATTGGGGGTTTTTGTGAACAATCAGTGTGCTTTTTGAAGTGTGTTGTGATCAGTAGGGTATTTGTTCGATTTGTTGTTTTGAGAACCAAATCCATTGAACAATTTATGAAATTTGGAAAAAACTGTCAGCTGTTTTATCTCTATATAATATATACATTATATAATATGTACATTGTATGTATTATATAGTATATATTAAATAATGTTTTATATTTTTTTTTATATTTCTGTTAGGAAGTGTAGTTTTTTGTTTAATGATTAGGAAAACAGTTCTCCTTTAGTTGCTTTAACGTATACAAATTTCCAAAATTCACCTCAGTTAATATCTTCCTTTAGGATTCTTAGATGGTATAACTTCTTAAAACATATTCAGAGATGCAGCTCATCGTTAAACTAAGTTAGCCATATTTTGTATTGCTGCTAGCTTTTCACATAAACAGTATTCACACTTAATGGGTTAGGTGCTTAAATATTAATAGTCATCTTTGTCTGGTGGTAGGCACCAGACACCTGGCTGCTGAATTTGGTTTCCCCTCATCAAAGCTGTCACATGGAATGCCAGCCAGGAGGACTTGGTGGGAAGAGAAGATACATGTCAACAAGCAGCATGTACACACTGTTTTAAACCTTTTTCACAATGGAACCAAATATCCAAGTTGCTGTATGGTTAAGATTGCAAATCCATAGGTGTTTTTTTATTCCAGCATTTCATATCCAGGACACAAATTCATGTTCTTTGTCCTACGATAGGAAATTGGTTGCAAAATGAATCATACACTTTTAATAAGTTTGGTAACTTTTAAACCAAATATATTTACATCAAGTTCTTGGCTTCTCGAAGCAACATGAGTCAAAGCACAGTGTCAAGATAATGTCCTATGACTTAGTGTCTCAACAACACTGTAATCTTCGAGAGAAGTTTTATTTCCACATTCTCAGGAAATGTCCTGTCTTCTGCAGTGTGCTTTCATGCTGCTGCCTGGAGCCTCTTTGAAATCATTGTAGCAGCTCAAGAAGTTTATCCACAAAATATTTCACCCATCTTGACACAATAGAAATGATTTTTTACATCATATATATTTGAAGCCTTATATGATATAAAATGCATATTATTTAAAAAACAATCTACACTTAAAGGAATTACTTCTGTTATAAGTGGTACTCATGACTACTTAGTTAATACACATTAGATTCCTCCTAATATAAAATAGAACAGTGTGGTTTATTTCATTTCAGTCCGATGCCAGAGCTGAAGAGATTAAATTTAGAAAAGTTTATCTATCTCAGTAATCACTGACCTTGAAACACAAGTCCCATCTGAGTCTGCAGAAACCAGCAGAGCTCTGCTGAGGAAGGAGTCCCAGAGGCCCTGGGATTCTCCTGAGGCAATGAAAGTATAGTTGTAAACAAGGAAATGTGAACTTCTCTTGTGGGAAAAGTCTAAGACAATTAGCTTTACTGAAGAGAAAATGGTTTAAAATGAGGCTGAATAATTGGTAATAGTTTAAATGTACATGCATGTGCATATATGCTTTTGGGAAACATGTGCCAATACATTATTGCACCTGAAGATTTCCTTGTGGACGGGTGAGTATCCACATTGAACATTCAGGGCATGACTATTTATATACAGCTAAATATTATATATATATTTTTATTTTTTAATGTACAAATATCCAGTACCTATAGAGTTGATGTCCCTGGATAAGTCATTTAACCATAACTAGTGGAATAAATGTGATGCACTCAAGTAGAATTTTACTTTTATTACAGCCATGCCTTGATTATGCACTCTGAATTTGTTTGATATTTGGATAGTGTCAAATATCCATTATATCAGTATATCAGGACTTTTGCCAACTCTAACTATACAATTGCTGAAATAGTTTTCTAAAATAGAAATCGTATCATAAACCCAGTACAGCAACAGTAGCCTGAACCCTATATTCTAGAATCTAGTAAATTTATTTATAATAGCTTATAAGGAAAAGTTTTCTTTAAAAGAGCAAATTGGGTATTAACACAAATTTAGAAAATGATGCAAATTAGCAATAAAATATGTTAGTGTAGCATTATAGACTGTGGCCAGATACTAACTGCTTTGACCGTAGTATCCCAATGACAATAAAAGATGATCTTTGTTTTAAAGATTCATTTAAATTTGTCCTTATTTTTATAGATAACAGTAGGTGTCATGATTCAGTGACTGGGCTGACTTTTAAGGTGGATAGCCATGGAGTTAGGTACGATTATTTTAAATTGGTAAACACTGAACATAAAAGTTTTGAAAATTGTTTAAAATAATGGTCTACTTAACACTGTACTTTTATGACTTCTGAAACAACACTCCATTTTCCAGAAGTCAGAGACTAGGAAGCCAATAATTTTGTAGTAATGATCTTTATACTAAAGATGGAAAAGCAATCATGAAGTTTTATGTATATAGATAGCAAGTGTTCGAGTCACCATATATATAATATATATATATATATGTGTATATATATATATATAGCTGTGTGTATAATACATAAAATTCTCCCCAGATACATGAATAATAAAACTAAATATGTTCTCCCATGTAATTATAGCTAGTGCTCTTACATTTTAATTACTCCCAAATTCTTAGACATTATGAAACTTTTTTCACATTGTTTTCAAAGGTTCTGGTTTTACCTTGAGGCCGATACTAATCCTCTTTTTGAAAAATATATTTGGAATTAAGTTCGGAAAATTATTATTTCAACTTAGTTTCCTTAGGGAGAAAGGACAGAGTCCTAGATGGAAGCCTCTGGAGAAATACTTATTTAAAACTTCGAATGAATTTGTGATATGGTTCAGGCTTAGAGATTATGGTACCTGCTTCCCTCTTGTTCTATTGGATCTGCTGTGAGAATTCATGTAATAACATCTGTAATGTATTTGGAGTTCTTGGGAGAAATTTAGTATTTTAAATAATAGGATTATTGTATATATTACAAGTTAATATTATTCACAAACTTTTAAGAATACAACTGACTAATAATTCATCATACCAGTTTTTATGTATACATTGTGTATCTGAAAAAGATAACAGTTCTGTATTTTTTAAGGTAAGATTATTTTTTAATTGCATTTTTGTTAGCTTCAAGTTTTATTCATTTTAAAATATTTCCCATAATTTATCATATTCCTTTGTGTGTTTCTGAAATGATTTAGTGCACAGAATCAAAAATGAGTCCTTAATACACTAAAAAGTGAAGGAATGATGTTATCTCATTTCTGAGGTAAGAACTTAAAACCGTGGTTTGCACCATTTTGGCAATACACTGCACTTTCTTTAAAATAGTCTCTTTTTTGGTAAAAATAGAGCTGATGTACTTCTACTGGCTGAGATCCTAATTCTGACTCCTAACCATCTTACCTTTGATAAAATATATATCCTCCTTTACTTTTAATATTCCACTCGTTAAAAAAGGCTAACTTAATATTTCTCTTCACCTTAAATTACAAGAAATAATTTGTAACTCTGATGTGGTAAATGCTAAATTGGAAAATCCTTATTAGGCTACTTTATGTTTATTATATGTATTCACTTGCCTTGAGGTTGCTTATCTTTTAGTTCTTTCAAAGTGTATCTCTTTTGGAAGTAACATAGTGAATGGTGCACACCATTCAGAAATTCTACCTTGGGTTTTAAAACAGCCCTGAGGATGTAGTTCAGCCCTGAAGAGGTTCTGTTCTCTTAGTGGCCTGGTTAGAAAGTCCATTATAGTTTAGAATCCTAAGTCCAAACCCTTAGCAAATCCTTGCTGCCAATCAGACCACTCATGAGTCAAGCAAAATATAAGTAAGCAATTCAGTACTTTATTACATCTGAAGACACTCTGATCTTTGCCCCTTGAAGCTGTCCTACCTTTGTTCCTAGGCCTGAAGTTGATTACTGCAGCCCTGTTGTTTAACTCATAGTATTAAGTTTAAAAGGCATCTGTTTGTTTGAAAGGAAAAACCTTCAGTCAGGTCTGGTTAGGGAATCTCGAATCCAACATGAATGCATTTTAGTTTTGTTCTCTAATTGCTTCGTGACTGTTGGCTGATAACGCAGTGCTGTGATAAATCTAACTTTCCTCTACACACCAAAGTCGGTAAGAAGCTTTTTTTTTTCCTACTGACTTTTTACCGTTTCCTAATCTCTAGCACAAACTGAATGAACACATCTACAGTTACTGTAAATGCTACTCACAACTTGGCAGATTAAATGACTCAGTGCTTGTAAACCTGTCTTAAGTCCTACTGAACAGGTATTGCAGCTACCACAGAGCAGAAGCCAAAAGTCTTATTTTAAAATAAGTAGGAAATAGAGGTCTTTATTGCATTTCAGAAACAGCAAGCTAGGGGTTAGAAACACAAATACAGCACGCTGTGCCTGAAATTTGACTCTTCTCACATCAGTCAAGGTGACCTGGGAGCTTGGAAGAAGAGGGGAAAAGCATAGCATCAGAAACTCCTGCTATAAATTACCAACACTAAACCAGAAGTCATCAGTTAAAATACGTGGTTCTCATCTTACTCTTAAATAGGAGAGTCAGGCAGTGGTATGAGTAACCTTGCTTCGAAGACAGGTGGTTCTGGTAAACATGGTGCAACAGACAAATGCTTTAGTCTTCAGGTAGAACCTGATTTGACGAATAGCTTATCTCCATCTGTAATAGATACACAATATAAGTATTTCTTTTGTGTGTCCTCTTTAAAAAAGAATGCTGACTCCTCTTTTTTCAGTGACATTGACTTTTAAGAAAGTGGTATCTTGTATTTTGCTATAGAAGAATGAGCACTGGGATTCAGCAACTGGTGTAATTTCCACATGGTATGTTATCTCTGTTAGAGCCCTTGATGAGTATTTGATGTGAAGACTTTGGGGGATTTTTTTCCATCTCATTTTGGTGTATCTTTATTTTGAACACATGCATGCTCTTTTTAACCTCTAGTCTTTGAAATGATTGTAGAAGAGAAATTTTTTTTTTTAATGGAGGGCATCTTCTAAGAATGCTTCTTAGCAACCTAAAAAATCAAAGCTGAACAAAAACTACTAAAGTAAGTTTCTGGTGAAAAAGTTTAAAAATAAAATTAATTGCTGCTGCTTTCCAAGTAATTGTAATACTGGTTCCTGTGTAAAAAAAAATTATTGCTGTCCTTGTATAAATAAAATTTTCCTGCAGTACAATTAAGTATTGATTTCTCAGAAACTATCCCCATAAATTTTTTCACATATTTCCATATGTTGTCCAAAACAAAAATTATGGAAATGTCTAATCTGTGAGATTGCATACTCCTGGTAAAATATTTTTGTATATATAAAGAAATAAATATTTAATATTGGAAAAATGTAGTGTTTCATTTATAGATGGAACTAAGACATAGGGATAATAAAATACAGAATGTATCAGATTAGCTTTGGTAGTTTCTTTAAATGCTAATGGTCTTTGTTAAAAGCCTCTAATGTCATTTATATTTTCCACTAAAATATGTGAACTTTTCACCTGCCTCCCCTTTATAACAAGAAAACCCTAATTTTTTTTTTTTAATCTATCCTAGCCCAATGATTCCATGGCTTTCAAAGACAACTTACTCAAGGAGACAATTCCAGAGACAGGGAAGATTAAAATACAGGATCAAGAAAAGGCCTCTGTGCTTTGATGGCTTGGGATACTAGGACCACTTCCCAGCTACCAAGGAAGAGAAAGCCTGGTGGGAAGGACGAGCCTGCTCTGGCACACAGCTCAGCCCTGAGGCCTGCATTGAGAAGGGGAGGTGGACCCACCAGCCAAGAGGTGGATGCGTGAATGTGGGTGAGTGCAGGAAGCCTGTTTCAGAAAAGGTACTTCAGCAACCCTTTGCCAAGCTAGTTTCCAGGATTCAATACTTAATACTTCAGAAATTGCTAGTCTGGTGTTCTGACATCTCCAGAAGAATCAGGTTTGTTTTTCTTTAATTGAAGTATAGTTGCTTTACAATATTATGTTACTTACAGGTGTACAACATAGTGATTCTGTGTTTTTACAGAGTATATTCCATTACAGGTTATTACAACACAATGCGTATAATTTCCCATGCTATACAGTAAATCCTTGTGGCTTACGTATTTTATATATAGTAGTTTGTATCTATTAATCCCACACCCCTAATTTGTCCCTCCCCCCTTCCCTGTTCCTTTTAGTATCCACTAGTTTGTCTTCTGTCTCTGTGAGTCTGTTTCTATTTGGCATATACATTCGTTTGTATTATTTGTTAGAGTTCACATGTAAGTGATATATAGTGTTTGTCTTTCTCTGACTTATTTCACTAGGCATAATATTCTCTAGGTCTATCCACGTTGCTGTAAATGGCAGTATTTCATTCTTTTTATGGCTGAATAATATTCTAGAGTGTGTGTGTGTGTGTGTGTGTTTCTTAATCTGGGCTTCTGATGGGCACTTGGGTCACTTCCATGTCTTGGCTATTGTAAACAGTGCAGCTGTGAACTTTAGGGTGCATGTATCTTTTTGAATTAGTGCTTTTGTTTTTTTCTGGATATATACCCAGGAGTGGAATTGCTGAATTCCATGTTCTGTTTTTAGTTTTTATAAGGAAATTCCATACTGTTTTCCATAGTGGCTACACCAGTTTACATTCCCACTAACCCTGTACAATGGCTCCCTTTTATCCACATCCTCTCCAACATTTGTTATTTGTAGACTTTTTGACGATGGCTATTCTGACCCATAATTTGCAATGCTGAGCACCTTTTTACGTGCTTCTTGGCCATCTGTATGTCTTCTCTGGAAAAATGTCTGTTCAAGTCTTATGCTCATTGTTTGACTGGATTATAGTTTTTTTTCCCAATATTGACTTGTATGAGCTGTTTATATATTGTGGATATTAACCCCTTTTCTGTCTTTTTGCTTGTTGATGGTTGTCTTTGCTGTGCAAAAACTTTGAAGTCCCATTTGCTTATTTTTGCTTTTATTTCTTTTGCCTTGGGGGCTGATCCTAGAAAATATTGCTATGATTTATGTCAAAGGGTATTTCCTCTATATTCCAAAAAAATTAGGTTTATATAAAGTTGTCCCTCGATATCTACAGTTAGGCATCTGAGGACCGTGTAGTACTGTTATATTGTTTGAAAAAAACCTGCATATAAGTGGACCTGTGCAGATCAAGACTATGTTGTTCAAGGGTCAACTTTGGTTCATTCTTCCATCTTATACAATCTGTCAGTTTTCTATCACTGCAGGGACAAATTACCACAAACTTAGCCGCTTAAAACAAACTTATCGTCTCAGTTCTGTAGGTCTGAAATCCAACATGAGTCCTCTAGGCTAAAGCGAAGTTGTCTCCCTGGGCCTGTGCTGCCTCTTACCTGCGGTTCTGGAGGGGACTCGGCATCCAGGCTATTGCAGGTTGTTGGCGTGCTCTCTCTCTAGTTCCGTGCAGTTGTAGCACCAAAGTCCCCACTTGCTTATGGGCTGTCTGATTGGACTACTTTCTCATTCTTGAACTGGCTCCCTCTGTCCTGAGAGCCAGCAACAGCACTGAGTTCTTCTCATGCCTCATCTTTCCTGTGTTTTCTTTTGCCAGATCCCTCTCTCACTGACCCTTCTGTCTTCTAAGGGTGCACTCAGATAATCCAGGATAATCTGTCCATCTGAATGTCCATAACCTTAAAAACATCTGTAAAGTCACTTTTTGCCAGGTAACATGTTCACAGGTTCTAGGGATTTATTAGGTCATGAATAACTTTTTAGGGGCCATTATCTGGCCATACCACACTAGCTAATCGTGCCCATGTTTCATCCGGTATCCATTTACTTGAAGAGAAGTGGTTGTGGAAATATCAGAGTTAAGGTGGCTGTCCTGTTCTCTTCTAGGAAATACTACTGTATTTACTATCTGTTTTCTAGGTGTTCTGGGATACTAGAACTCATTTCCAAACCTGATTCTTAAAAGAAGTATGGTTCTGGATCTCAAGCAGTTAATAAGGTTACATTTAAAATTAATTTTATTTAATGATGAGGATACTAGTTAGTTAGAAACATCTGGAGGCCCAATCTCACCCTCCCTGGAGCCCAGCACTACCTTGCCCACCCCATCCAGTGGGGGTCTGCTACATGTAGCATAGGGCTACATCCTTTTCACTGGCTAGTGTTTAAAACACAATCCAACAGAATCACTGGCCAGCCTTAGGGCAATTGTGGAAACAGACAAATGCCTTAATTGCAGTTTGATGTAACCCAAACTTTCAGCACTTCCTGCATGGCATCTTTTCTTTCTGTCTTAAGTCTGTCTTTAGTTTTTGATATTTGGGTGGATTTTTGTTGTTATTTTTAACTCAGGATATTACATACAAGATTTTAACAGAAATAGAAGGATGAACCCACTCCCACCTCTTGCCATAGCCTCTAAATCCTCTCCCCAAAGGAGACACTGTTAGGTTTCTTGTGAACTTTTAAATGAGATTACCCATGCAGTGTGATACCTTTTTTTACATGACACTATTAATGTGCTCTGCCTAAAGCACAGAGTCCATTCAGGCTTACACATTCTGTCTGTAATGTGTTCTTTTAGTTCAGAAAACCAGACAAAAGGTACGTACAGTGCCACTATTTTAGCACAGCTGCTTCGAGTTTTGCTTGTTCCTGTCCAACTTGTGTATAAGGTGTTTTTTATGTTGTTGCCACCACAGTATACAACTCTGTATCCCTTTTCCTTATGTAAGTATTTGCATAATATTTGCATATAATTTAGTCTCATTTTTAGTAGGGGTGATGAAAGGGTTTCATTTCTTCCTTATTAACGTTTGTTAAACTTTGAAGCACAGAAAGGGATTAAGTAGGTGATGTTGGTACAGGTGCTGAGTAACAGCATGTTTCTCTCCAACAACTGCTATTCTTCATCCGTACTGCCTCCTGCTCCTAAAGAAAGACAGATCCTAGCAATGTTTAAATAGTCCAGGCTATTTATACAGAATGACATGAAAACAGAGTAAAAACAAAACATACACAGTTCAAAGTTTCCTTTGATACAGTATGTAGTATTTTACAAACTAAACATCCAGAATGCATGGGAAACCAGCACATTGCTTTAGACAAAGGATTGGTATGTTCATCAAAGCATGACAAATTCAAATAAAATGCTTATAGCTAGACCCTAAGAAAGGGTATCCTGCTGTTAGGTTATTTATTAGCATAATTTTGTTTAGCAGAAGAATATGTGTACTCTAGTGGCATTTACAGTTCATTTTTCAGTCACTGCATAGCATACGGCACATCCAACATGTAGCCTTCAATGAAGAGAAATTGCCTCCCCACAGCATTCACAATTTAAGATGAATTTTTGGATCAAAGTGTCAGCCTCATCTGTTTTTGTTTAAAAGAAAGTGGGAAATATAAGAAAGTGATAGATGGACCCATTTTTCTGCAGAGACAAGGTCTCAATGTAAACTAGCTTAGAATTCTCAACCCTCCTCCAGCTTTTTGGATGGCTGGGGTCTAACTCAGACACTGGGTTAACATCACAAGAGGGCCTCTTATGAAAAAGAATGTTCACCAGGTACCTGGTGGCTAAATTCAAAGTGATTCATAATGCAAAAAGTCACAACTTGTTAAATGCATTTCCTCAATCAACGTTTAAGGGGGTGACCTAAGCCCCAAAGGCAGTATCTTAATGATGCTGAAAAATACCCCTCCTTGGCTGAGAATACGTACAGGCAGACCTCAGAGATACTGTGGGTTCAGTTCCAGACCGCCACAGTAAAGCAAGTCACACAAATGTGCTGGTTTCCCAGTGTATATATGTTTATACTGTCTTATAGTCTGTTAAGTGTACAATAGCATTATGTCTAAACAATGTATATAACTTAATTTTTTTAAACTTTATTGCTAAATGCTAACCATCATCTGAGCCTTCAACAAGTCTTTTTGCTAGTAACAGCAAAGATCACCATAACAAATATATTTGATAATGAAAGCTTTGAAATATTGTGAGAATTACCAAAATGTGACACACAGACATCAAGTGAGGAAATGCTGTTGGAAAAATGGCACTGATAGTCTTGCTTGACAAGGGGTTGCCATCAACCTTCAATTTGTAGAAAACACACTTCTAATCCACACATGACACTATTAATGTGCTCTGCCTAAAGCACAGAGTCCATTCAGGCTTATGTAAAGAATCAGTGGGGAAACGTTAGGGTCCTTCCGGATGACAGCTTTTACGGATGACTGCTCTCTCTCCAGGTTAATGTCAGCTGAGGCAAACAGACGCTGCATGATCTCAAACCTTTCTGTGTCTTTCAGAGGAGCCAGGATTGGGTCTTCAAGATCAGACACACCAGCATCAGATAGAGC